GCCGGAGCTGAGTAGCTAGGTGCTGGAGCCGAATAGGATGGAGCTGGTGCTGGAGCAGAGTAGCTAGGAGCTGGAGCCGAATAACTTGGAGCTGGTGCAGAATATGCAGGAGCTGGTGCTGGAGCAGAATACGATGGAGCTGGAGCAGAGTAGCTAGGAGCTGGAGCCGAATAGCTTGGAGCTGGTGCAGAGTAACTTGGGGCTGGAGCAGAATACGATGGAGCTGGGGCCGAGTAGCTAGGTGCTGGAGCAGAATATGCAGGAGCTGGTGCTGGAGCCGAGTACGATGGAGCTGGGGCTGGAGCAGAATAGCTAGGAGCAGAGTATGCTGGGGCTGGAGCTGGTGCAGAATACGATGGAGCTGGAGCAGAGTAACTTGGGGCTGGTGCAGAGTAACTTGGGGCTGGTGCAGAGTAACTTGGCGCTGGTGCCGAGTAGCTTGGAGCTGGAGCAGAATAAGATGGCTCTGGTGCAGAATACGATGGAGCTGGTGCAGAGTACATCGGAGCGGCGCCGTAACCGCCCATTGAACCGTAACCCTTCATGCCTCCGTAGCCCATGGGTTTCTTGTACGTCTTGGGACTGGAATAGGAGTTCCTGTAGCTGCCTCCGTAGGCTGCGGCGCCACCACCACCTCCGTAACCGCCTCCTGCGGCTCCTCCACCGTATCCTCCGCTGCCGCCGTATCCACCGCCGCCCATTCCACCTCCGTATCCTCCGGCAGAGCCGCCACCGTATCCGCCGCCGCCGCCGCCGTAGTGCGCGTTGGAAGCGTATCCAGCTAAAGAGGGTTGACATGTAATTACCAAACCGCTATGCCCATAGCTCTGCCCTTTTCCTTTACCCAAGCCTTTACCCATACCTTTGAGTCCCTTGAATTTCATCTCGCCGTAACCGCCGTCGTAGCCGCCGCCGCCTCCTCCTCCTCCTCCGTACCCTCCGGCCGATCTCATCATCTCCATAGCGTCGATCTCGTGAGCGATGGGAATGCCGACCGGATGATGGTCATCTTCGTCGTCGATTTCGATGGAGTTGTCGCTCGAGCGATAACTGGCACCACCGTGACTGCCTCCTGAACCATGATGGACCGCGGACGCTGAAGCGCCACCGCCGTAGCTAGGCTTTGGAGCGGAATACGATGGAGCTGGTGCAGCGTAAGAGCCGGAATCGCTGGAATAGGAAGTGGATCCGCCCGAGGACGCGGCGCCGCTGTAGGAAGCTGACGTCGGGGCAGCAGGTGCGGAATATCCCTTCGCCGAGGCAGAATAAGAAGGAGCAGAGAATCCGGTCGCCGTCTTCATCGGAGATGAGTACGTAGGGGCAGCAGCGTATCCGCTCATCGGAGCAGGAGCTTCAGCTTTGGGAGCGGAGTAACCGCCGGCTGGGGCGTTGTACGAAGAGGCCGGCGCGTAGCTTGGAGCAGGAGCAGCTGGAGCGTTGTACGAAGCTGGAGCGGCGTATCCAGTGGCTGGGGCTGATCCACCGTATCCACCTGAAGAAACGGCCGCAGCGGAAGCGGCTCCACCGTAGCTCGGAGCGGCGGCGTATCCAGTTGGTGCTGGGGCGGCGGCAGGTGCTGCCTGATACGAGGGTGCTCCCGATTCGCAGACGGTGTACGGTTTCTGGTAAGGACTGCTAGGTCTGATTTCAACGCAGAACGTCGTCGTCGCCGATTTCTTCCTCCTCACCACGTCCTTCTTGCTCTTCTCTTCCTCATCCAGCGACGAGTCTCCATCGTTGATCGCCTTCGTTTCGGTCAACTCTTCTTTGCCGGTTTCCACTTCTTTGGATAGTTTGCTGGGGTTGCCGTACACTTGGCAACCAACTGCGGCGAGCAGACAGATTGCTACGAAGACTCGCATTGTTGTTGTTACTTCTTTGTTATTGCTGCTGCTGCTTCAGTAGGCGAAGCGAGCGAATGATTTCCGATCGTACTGGTCGACACTTTTATACTCGATTGAAAATCGCTGATTTTGTATTGCGCCCATTTCGTTACATTTTTTTTCCGCATTGCCACGCACAAATTAATAATTGCTTCTAAATTATTCCATTTGCTTCTTCTTGCATTTACAGCATAATAGCAATTCAAATTCATATTGCCTAAGCTTATTATTAATATTATATGTAGACACATTTTAACAACAGATCTGAATGTTCTGCATTGATCGATCCCTTCGAAGAGATGGAAAGATTGTGCTCTGATTAGAGTTCTTTTTCTAAATGATTATTCTAAATTCTAATTCAATCTAAATCTCTAAACTTTTACCAGTTTACGTTTGTGAAAATTTCAACGTAAAACTTTTTACAAAAATTGCTCTTAAATGTTTAATATATTAACAAACTATCTGAAGGAGCATTGATGCATCTTCATTGACTATTTCTAATATCATTGATATTAGTTTAATGTTTCAAGAAAAGTGTAGATTTGAAAAAAAAGTTGATTACTTGATTGACATTCTTAGTTATTTTCATTAACATCAAATGATTCAACAATCATCAAAATTTAACAATTTCGTTAGTTTAAACCAGACTTTCCCAAACTTTTTTGTGTCGTAGACCCCTTGCCATGTTTTTCGGTTTAGGGGGTCTACCTGATATTTTTTTTGTAAATTTATTATTTATATTGGGACATCTTAGTATAATTATTAAGATCTTTGCTCTGAGACTGCGCGTATACTTGTAACAAGATGATACTGGTATATCATTATGTGCAGGTTTTTACAAGTTCAAAATGTATTGCGACCACAAAGCGAATGACTACATCCCACAATTTACACAATTTTATAAACATATATAATATTTTTTTTACTTCATAGCTACTTTTATAAATAATGTTTAAGATAGTATAATGTAAGTAAATAGGTACTATCACTATCGTGGACCCGCATTTTCATTTCATAGACCCCTGGGGGTCGATATAGACCACTTTGGGAATCACTGGTTTAAACTAAGAATCGCATTTGGCGCGCAGTAATGGGTTCAAATGAATGTCGGTGTTGTATATTAATAGAAAATAGATGTGTTTATTTCAATCATATTTTAGTAGAAAGCGAATACATAAATAAATAAATTAATTTTTGAAGAATTTCAGCTGCTTCAAGTTGCAGTAGATGAAGGCGCAAACTAGGAATTTCGTAGTAGTCACAACAGCGACGATGACAACGAGCTGGAACTTTTTCCCGAAGACGTTGTTTTCCCGTTTTTTGAATCCGAATCCGCATCGGCGCCACGAGATTCTATCTTGATTTCAGGTTCAACTGCGCTCATTGTTGTTGCTGCAATCTCTTCAGTTGTTGTTGTTGTTGTTGGAGATGTTGGCTTTTTGGTGGTGGTTTTTGTTGGTTTCTTTGTTGTTGTTGTTGTTGTTGTTGTAGGTGAATTGGTGGTTGCTTCATGCGCTTGAGAATCATCCAAATCGTGGTGGTCAACGAATTTCAGTTCATCCGCCAATTCGATCGGTTCATCCTCGAGGTTCACCTCCAAGAATTCGTCGCTCGGCATGAACTCGATCTCGGCGAACTCTTTCGCCTTCAGATGTCTGCTTTCCTCTGTCAATTCGGATTTCTCTAGTTCTTCGTCGTTCCTCGACATCGGAGCATCATCCTCCGGGACGTAGATTGGAGGAGATTCAGTCTCTTTGAAGATGTTGTTGGTGATGTCGAACGATCGTTGATCGTTCTCTCTGATCACGGGTGCATCATCGTTATCGTCGTGATCGGTCACGACGATTTCGACTCCTCTCTCCACGTTCCTTGGCGTAATCTTCACCGGGCTGATCCAGGCGTGTTCCCCCGGCTTCTGGTAGACGGCGTATTCGACTCCAGCGCTATAATAATGATGATCGTCATCATCGTCGGAGTGGAGGAATCTCGGCTTCAGGAACATCTCGTTGGCCGAGCAATATTCCGGATGCAACTGGTTTTCGATGAGCGTGAGACTCCTTCTATTTCGAATCGTCTTCTTGACGATGTGATGGTGATCGTCGTCGTCCTCGTCGGATCCGGGAAGGACGTGGCTCTGCGCCGCAGCTGCGAACAGCAGAAGACGGACGAAGAGAACTTGCGACTTGCTCTTGGTCATCTTTCTTTCTTTCTGTGATGATTTGCGTGCTGGCGTTTCCGTTTTATATGATACATACGGTTATTATTTGTTTCGTTTGTTTAATAAACAACGGAAATTCGAAAACAAAACCGAAGGTTACGGTTTTGCAAGCCTCCGCGTCGACGTCGTCGTTCCTCCTTGTTTTCTTCTTCTGTTTACAGATGGCCCAACAAGAGGGATTACATCTCGGAGAAGTCGCTGACGGCCGTACGAAATGTCATCGAATTCCTGAAGGAAGGTGAGAGCGCATTTGGATGCGAATTGAGATTGTCTTTACTGATTTCCTCTTTACTTCGGTTTCAGCAGACGTGATCCAGAGGGACATCTTCAGAGCGACCCGTCACGACGCGGCCGCCCTGCAGATCGCCAGGGAATTGCACAGGGGTGGACCTGCCCTGTACAGGTTGTTGGATGAAAGCAGCGTCAGGGATATTGCCGGTGGATTGCTGTACTTTCTCATGTGCCTGAAGAAACCGCTCATTCCGCTCCACATTCAGGCTCTCGTTTTGGGTGAGTGATGAAGCACAAATACTACTTGTATTTCTTATAAAATCTTTATTTGTTTTTCATCCAGATCCGGACAACAGGAGCGTCAACCCGGAAGTGGTCGCGCAGGACGCCCTCGGATTGATAATGCAGGAAGTTGCCGGAAGACAGCTGAGACTCGTCCAGCACATCCTGGATCTGCTGCACCACGTCCTCAAGTACACGCCGACAGACGAATTGGCCGGTTGCAACGTGCCCATCTCAATGATGCCCGTCTTTTTCAATCTTCAGGTAATCATCATCTCTCTCTCTCTCTAAATTTCACGCAGCAACATTTTCATTATTTGCAGACTTTGCAAATAAGAAAGTTTGTTGACTCGTGTTTGCGCGCATCGCAAATTCTTGCTTGCTTGCTTGCGACTTTTATTTACTAATGGCATTCCGCAATTGGCGAATCTACGCAACCCGTGCGAAATTAAACACCCGCACGCAATCGTCAACATCAATCGGACGCGCACATTCAACATTTTTTTTTATTATTTTTTTTGTGATAACATTTAAATTGGCGTGAATAGAGTTGCCTAATGATGCGAGATTTATTTGGTTTCAGGCTGAACACATCTCGCAGTGGCGGAGGGTGGCCACCATCTTCGTGGAGTTGATCCGTTACGCACCGCAGCAGCTCAACATCCAGAGCAACGTCGAGCCGACCAACAATCTGATCATACAAAATGTAAGTTGGATCGAGATCGAGCTGTGAACGAGACGCGAACGACGCGAAAACGGTGAATAAAATCCACATTTCTTTTCGTTTCGTTTTCGTATCGTTGTTCTTTGTTGTTTTCTACTTGAAAATTGAAATTATATTAACTCTACGCATTGTACGTGTTTCAGTTGGCGCGCGACGAGCACTTCGGCAGAGCGAACAATTTCATCCTGCAACGGCTCGACGATATGAGCGTGGTGCTGCGAAGATACATTGCAAGAACAGGTACTGCCATCCACTAGGAGGTAATCTATTCAATTCAAGCTAAATTTCATGTGTATGCGTGTCTTGTTTAGCGTTTATCGCACGTTCCGATTTGTAAATACCAGAGAATTGTACCGCCGGTTCATTTTCAACGAAGTTGACACCGTCAAATTCTGAGATTCTCGCAGGTGCAAGGACTTTCGCGAATCTCGCCAAGACAAAGAAACGAAAACATTGTTGCTTTTCTCTCGTCTTTCTGTAAATAATTCTAAAACTACTTTTCAATTTCTCCTTGCAGATAACAGAGGAGACGCCACCTGCTTGGAAGTATACGAACACCGGATAAGGACCAATATTCAAGCGCACAGATCGAATTGTATTTGAAATCAATAAATTAGTTAATAATAATTAAAATAAGAAAGGTTTTTCATGAGTAACTGAAACAATCACGGAGACTGACTCCTTTCGAATGGGCGCGAATCCTGAAGAAAATTAGCATGAACATTTCGCGGGCGACCGGATATACAAACACGTATGTTTAGTTGCAGTCGCTAAGGGGCAACTATCCATTGCTGATGGATAGAAAAAAACGTTTTTTGTTAATAACTCGAAAAGTAATAAACTTTTTTATGATTTTATTGCATAACCAGATGCACGCAATCCTTACGCAACTAATTACATCATCGACCACTTGGATGAAAGCTGAATGTCTCACCTTTCCAACGAACCTACTTGCATCTTCGTACTGTCGCCCAGTCGCCTGCTATAAACTATAGAAAATGGAAAAAAAGTGAATAGAATTTGTCAAACAATGGATGTAATTCAGTTTTTTGATAATAACTCGAAAAGTAATAAACTTTTTTATGATTTTATTCCATAATAACATGCACGCAAGTATTGCGCAACTTTTCATGTAACAAAAGTTACGTAATGTTCGTTTCGTAACAGAAAACGACGTTTTTTTTCGATTTTTTTCAGTTTTTCGTAAATTTCTCGACAACCCCTTAAGATAATTACATCATCGATCACTCGTATGAAAGCTG